AACCGACGACACCCGGTTCTGTGACAGTCAGAACCCGGAGATGCGGTTCTGACGCTGCCAGAACCGTTAAAAACAAGGTACCGTCACTTTCTACGGTACCCATCCACGAAGGTACCGTCCTTTAACAAAGTGCCTGCGATTCGATGGGTGCCTTTCCAGGTTGGTACCCACGAAATTGAAGGTAGCTCTTAAAAAATGGGTGCAGTCTTTTACGATCTTCGGGAGAAATATAAGGGCTGTCTGCCGTAAGCTCTAAACATTAGCTACGATTCGGGGCGAATTGTTTTCAAATCTATCCTGTCACCACTTGGGTAGTCACACTAGGACACAACTGTAGAATGAAGGTATACGGCCAATATACGGACTCCGTGTCGTATTAACCAGTGTCAGTGCGTATTAAGTTGAACCCGTATCGTATACGCACTGGTTGCCAAAATTAACCCGTATACGGGCCGCATAATACTATTTAATACACTGCGCCTAAGTGCAAGATCACGAAAGGCTAGGCAACTTAATATTATCCAGCCCCAGTCTAACTGTCATCATCTTCGGATTCATCCTTCCACGGATTCTCTTGATCCTTACGCAGTCTGTCCGCCACAGAGTGCCCTTCGTTTTCGATAATACCTGTAAGCAGCGCATCCCACTCCTCACCCGGCGGATCTACCTTCGCCCCACGAGAGAGAAGTAGATTCGCGATATCATGCTTGTCTCCAGCAATAGCAGCCTGTAATGCATTCCCAAAACAGCCTCCTTGTACATTGACATCAGCACCCCTCTCGAGAAGGAGCTCCACTATGCTTTCGTTTCCAAAATATGCTGCTGCATGCAATACAGTCCCAAGATCGCCTCCTTGTGCATTAATATCAGCACCTCTATCAAGCAGGAACCGCACCATCCTTTTCATCCTGTGCTCTCTTCCAAACACTGTCATATGCAGAGCAGTTCCATATTTGCTTTGGGCATTGATGTTAGCACCATTCTCAAGAAGAACCTCCAATACGTTTGCGTGTCCGCTGCCTGCTGCTTGCAATAAAGCTCCAAAATTGCCTCCTTGGACGTTAATATCAGCACCGCTATCAAGGAGGAGCTGCACTGTGCTTTTGTCTCCCCAGCGTGCTGCTGCTTGCAATGCAGTTCCATATTCACCTCCCTCGGCATTGACGTCAGCACCCCTCTCGAGAAGGAGCTCCACTATGCTTTTGTGTCCGTACATTGCTGCTGCTTGCAATGCAGTTCCATATTGGCCTCCTTGGGCGTCGATGCTAGCACCACTGTCCAGAAGGAGCTGCACTATGGTTGCGTGGTCATTGTATGCGGCTGCTTGCAATGCAGTCCCATACTTTGCAGCCTCTGATACTTCGTCAAGTATAGCGCCACTTTCGATCAGGAGTTGTGTAACCTCAACAGCACCTATAGAGGCAGCACAATATAGCGGCGCAGCCAGGTTATCAAGTCCCATCTCCTCCTCGCTAAGCTCCTGGTCGAAAAGATTACCACTGGATTGGAAAATATTAAGTAAACTCAGTGACCTAGGTGTGAAAACTTGTGTCACGAGACTTTTCACGCCGTGTGGCCAAGATCTTTGCGGGGCCTTGTCTAAATGCTTCGTACAATAATTGACCACATATTTCCACAATTTGAAGCGGTTCATAGTTTCGTTGGTCGTGAGTTCCTTTTTACTCAGGCTCAGGTGTAAGTGATATGCGAGGCATGACTCTGAAATATACAGGTGCGCATCCCTCTCTGTGGTGGCAAAAATTGCAGCAGAGCCTCGACATATGCGTGGAGAGACCAAGTATTCCTTGATAGAGAAGTGTGCAAGTCTTATCTCAAAGTCAGGGGGGTAGTGTTTTGGAATTGTTGTGACAAGGCTTGGCAAGTGTTTGAGCAAAAGCTTGGGGTCGAGAAGCCTCTTTCTCTCATCAAATGGCACAGTGCTCTCGTGATCCACGATGAAAGCCTCTGCAACTTCCTCTAAGAGCAGGGGTCGGAGTGAGAACGCAAGCCATTTTAAGACACTTCTTACTTGCTCCTGTCTCTCGGGTTCAATACCTTGCAGCATTCGGTCGTACGTTGCATCGAGCCCCTTTGGAAGGTCCTTTAGATCGCGTTCGATATCATCAAGAGATGAACAATTTCGAAGAACGTCAAATTGACAAGAAATATACTGAAACCTGGTTGAAGTCGTTGTCAGCTAAGCTGCACATGGTAGTGAGACCGCTATAACAAAGGAAAAGAAAGACGGCGAGATATGATTCAAGGGGATTCTTTATTGGGAAAACCTACATGCCGTCGGCTTTCTGGATCAATTCAGTTCTCGCTTCCTCTTTTGTCTTATCCGGCCAAAAATTGTAGTTTCCGGAGGCAAAATTTTCGTCGATGTACAAGCCAATGTCTGCATCAACAGCATCCTTGCAGTCCAACAGATTGATATCGGTTTTTCCAGGTTCAGACAAGAGGGGCTGCAGTATTGCTTCTATGTCGGGTTCTCTCCGACTTGTACACAACAGATGCAAGTTCTCCGATTTCGCATTGTGGATTCGGCAGAGGCTGTTCAGCAGGATGTTGCGTTTGGATTCTCTGTAAGGACATTCGTCTAGGGCATCGATGACCAGGTATACATTTGAGAACCCATGGATTGTGGCTGCCAGAATACTCTCAAGGGTCTCCATATTTAGATGATGATGACCCATCTTCTCGTACTGGCGCAGAGTCTCGACAGATTGTGGAGTATCAGGCCTGCGGCAACACAGCTGCTTGATCAAGGAACGAAGCATTCCGACGGCGCTTTGTTTCTCCGAGTCGTTGAAACTGAAGTAGAAGTATGCTAGCGCCGTCTCCGGATCAGTGTCATGGAGATCTTCGAGATGTTTGATGACTGAAGAGCTGTTTGGAACATCTCAGCCTCCTCAACTGACTAAACGAAGATACTATAACATACCTTAGGACAGACTTTCCAGCGCCAGCTAAATGTAGCTGTCAGTTGAGAATAGCATTCTGGAACAATGGCCGTACCATTTCCGTTCAGCCACAGAAGAGAATTTCGAGCTATCTTCCAGTATTTGAAATCGTCGTCCCTCTTCACAAGCCAATCGCCAGTGTTGGCCTCGCGTTTCTCAAAGGCGTTCTTGTAATTTTCCGAGGGATCGATGTCAGATAACCACTTAAGCAATTCTGTCCGACGTGTATCTCTTTGTGCATCCACAATAGCTCCTCGCAAACCGGACACATCACTGCGAATGGAGGTCATAACGTTCATGCTCTCTTTATGACGCGAATAAAGGTCCTGATCATTTGAAATATTGTACACTCCATGGAAGGCTGTTTCTTGCTTCTTGATGTTGTCCAATAACGAGTCCCATTTGTTCCATTTAATAACGTTCAAGGCAATCTTGAGGGCTTCCTTCTCGGAGTAGTGGCAGACAGTCTTCGCTTGGAACTTCAGGATTTGGGTATAAAGCTCTTGCAGCGTGTCTCGATACATCTTGCGCGAAGATACGAAGGTCTTGCGCGATTGTTCATTGTGATTAGATTCGTACTGGACGGCATAGAGTTCTTCTCTCATTTTGCTTCGAATGATCAGATCGGATATGTATTCGAGGCCAGTTGCCAAGGACGCCGCTTGTTTCGAAGGATTTAGGACGAGCTAGAGGGTTAGTTATTGTTCAGAAGACTTGATAGCGCCGGAGAGAATGGAATATAACGTCTCAACCAGCAACGTTAGCTGGCCAATCGCGGTGCCCTAGATCCCAACTATTCCCTAGCTTGACCTCATGTCTGAAAGAAATAGGGGACATTCATGTTACCAAATGCCCGAGAACAATTTGAACGTGAATATCTCGTGATTGTCCAAAGTGCATCAGAAATATTTATACCTCCAAGGTTCACAGTAAAATGAAATTTAGAAAGGGTTGACTTACTGGAAGGAGTAGGCTAACGCCAGTCCATGCGATGGAAGCATATGGATTGGTGCTTACAGCGTCACCGATATATTTATCCGCCCAGCTGATGATGCCAACAACGGGTACCGCAAGATCTTTGAGAGGAATCTCTTTGGTACCGAATTTCAATCTCCATGTATTCTTCTTGGCCTCTTCTATCTTTCCCGCAAGTATACTCCCCATTTGTTCCAGTCTCTCGACCTTGGAGCCTGACAATGCCACAGTCGAGCCAACCATTGTCACAAGGTTCCCACACAGTACTGCTTCGTATTCTTTGATGAGATCCTTCTCATTAACTCGCAAGGCATCATAAGCTTGATTCCAAAGCTCGCGAATTGGGCCCGGGATCGAAATAACTGAGTGTGAGGCCGTCTGAGAAGTGTTGGAAGTGTTGGAAGTGTTATCGATAGCCGGTAGTGAGTCGTACGCGCGGTCCCAGAGCGAGGTTGGGCCCTGTCCCTCTGACGCGTTTGCTCTGGGTGGCTGAGGCGCTTCAATGAGTTTTGCGGGATTATCATCGGAGCTTTTGCCATGAGTAGGTTGCTGCTTGTTTTTGCTTAGTAGTTTTCTGTCTGGGGGCAGGAGAGCTTAGTGCTCACCGTTGAAGTGATTTGGGGGGCCTTGGGCTGGACTTCGTCGGAGGCCCGAGGATGCTCGGTTCGGGTCACGGAGAGCTAAGAAGGCAGACTCGTTCAGTCTCACTCAGCGGTACTGTATCTGGATGGAAGGAACAATTTAGACCTTTGACAAGCCTCCAGTTCTTCGATTCTCGTTCCTGTCGAGCTTAGAGGAGGGTTGTAGGTTCGGAAGTAGAGGGTCGCTTTCATTGCTGCGCCCTTTCTTCTGTTTTCGTTGGCCACAACAAAGCTCCATCGGTGATCGTGGTGTAGTTTGCGGTTAGTTTGAATAATAGAGCAGACACATAATCTTTTGATAGAGATTGACTTTTGGAGAGAGAAACACAGTGCAGTCGTTATTGTGTTCGCTGGCTTTGATGCGCCGCCACCACGCAAAAGAAATTAGCGAATCACTCAACAGCACGTGGCAGAGCGATTGGGCTAGCAGAACATTCGACTCCAAATCCTTGCCTAGATCAGGATATAGCAGTTTGTTAGGTCGCTCCTCATATCTCGCCTTAAAGTGGGGTAGATGTTGAGGAGTTGGCAGCAAAACCCTTGGAAATTGGTTCCTACATTGACGCACTTGCTAAAAGTTACGCTAACTGTTCCAAGTAAGAAAGTCACGTGCAAGTTACAGGCTCGCTTGAGCCTATCTGGAAGTCTTCGTCCCCCACATCGATCCCAGGCGGATTGGGGCCTTCCTTAGCTACTGCAATCGCCATTCTCATCACAGCTCTGGGCACGCGATCGGGGACGATCTCCCACTCCACGTCCTTCTCGAGGATTTTGCGCAGAGTCTCAAGAATGGCTATAAGATATTCGCGATTTGTATTCCTCCGGTTCCCGTCTTCCCCATAGGCTCGAGTGACCCTCCATAGATTGAGTTTGAAATGGCCCTCTCTTTTCAGAATATTCCATGCATATGGATCTGTGGCGCATTCTTCTAGATATGCTTTAATGTTTTCAGCTATCGCCCCAGGTTTGAGAAGACGCTGCCAGGCATCAGAGAGGTCAATATTCAAATCGAAATGCTCATTGAGGAGATCAAGGTTGATCGTCTCGAGAATATCGGTCCCGGTGGTTGCAGCAATGGAAGGGATGGCTGACTGGATGCATCGCTGAACGAGGGTACTATCGCCGGCCGCGCCCGTTTTCTGGGAGCCTTGTTGCTTCGTTGGGTCGTTTGGAAAGTCCTTCTCTGGTCCGCTCGCCGATGGCTCCGCGGAATTGGTCATCTTATGCATAGCTTCTTTTGCTCGTGCCATTGCTTTCTCCCGGGCAGCCTGTCGCTCGATACGCCTCTGAATTCCCTCGAGCTCTCTCGCTTTCTGATCAGCGTCGGAATGTTTGTGCTCTTTCTCCGGCGTCTTGCCCTCAAGGGGCCAATTCTTCAAGTCCTCTATCTGATGCGTTGGTCCTGAGTCAGTCGTGGAATTGAAATCGATATCTTTGAGGAGGTCCTCTAATTCTAGAGAGTAATTTCCCTCCTTCCCCTGCTTATTGTCCCCAGCTGTCTTCATAGCATCAACTCCAGTCCCAGCGGAGTAATCGTCACCACAGATAGCTGGATCAGCTTCGTCCGCTTCCGGGGATATGGCTTCAGATTTTGCTGTGTCATGGAGAGGAAACTTGACAAAGTCTTCGAAATGGTCCCAGTCCATGAGAAACATTGCGTGCACGTCATTATCCCTGACGAGCTTACAATCACGCTTGTGGCCTCTACCATTCCAGCCATTGGCCTGGCAAGACTGACATCGTTAGAACTTGGCGCGAATATCCGGCCTGTGACTCTTACCTTGTTGCAGTACCAAAACAGTGAGCATTTGGCGCACTTCTGTAAAGACGTCTTCTTCTTATCGCAGCCGTGATAGATCCTCTTGCCGTCGAGTTCCGTGGAGTATTGATGGACTCGGTCGCTTAATCTGAGCAACTCATCCAGGGCTGCGGGAAGGAACTGAGAAGAGTTTAGAATTCCGAAACCACGGCGGTGGGTGTGAGCCCTACTTTTATTCCGCGATATTCTTCCTGGCGAATTCCGGTCGTGAAATCAAGAAAGCCATGCTGCTGCGCATACAGGATTGCTACAGCACATCCTGGTCGCAGCTGGGAAGGCGCAAACTCGGTGCCTCGGCCATCAGTGTAAAAGGCGACTGGCACCTTAGCATCTGCCATATCCCGAACGATGAGTTTCACCCGAATGAAGTGTTCGATATCAATAATTTCAGCCAAGAAGCACTAGTGCTTTCGAGGCCTATAGGTGAACCCATCCACGGTGTCGTAGTACGCTAGGTTGATGTCGTTCTCTCCTGGGAGGCCGGCAAATGTCGGGAACGTCTCTTCGTTTCGGAAGTTTGCGTACTGCCAAGTCTCGTGGAACTTCTGCTTCTCCTGGAGATTGTCAGTAACTCTCTCTCCTCCCGACGCCTTGGGAATTTGGCCCACCGTTGTTCTAGCTCCAGTTCCGGCCGCGAACTCTTCGAGCTTATGACGAGCTGTGTCGCGTATATGCTCCCCCAGGCCATTCTCGCCCTTGATAGTCTTGTCGCAAGAACCCTTTGTCCCGCTGCTTCCTTTGGCTGTGTTGCGGTAGAAGGACGAGTCGCGCTGGTGCTGCTGTAGAGCGCTATTGGTTTTGAAGCTTTGGCCGCAGGTGCAGGTTATTTTGCTTGGCGAGGAAGGGCCTGTGGGGGTAACAGGTGGGCGGGGCATGCTAACGGCGACTAGAGAGTCGTGAATGTGCTGAGGCTTGAGAGTTCTTGAAGGTTTTGCTGCAGTGGTGAAGGACTCGGCTGATTGTGTTTGCCAGCCTCTAGAGGCTAGGCGATGATGGTAAACACAGAGATTGGGCAGCAGTCTTAGACATCTCGAGGCTGGGTTGGCCGAGCTTTCCTCCAATTGACATAACGTTACAGCGCCATAAAGAAAATGCAGTGGCCCCCACTTGCCCGAGTAACCTTACAGTGGCTAGGCGTGGCTGCCTGAGGCTGCTAAGGCCCCGACAACGGCACATCACTAACCTGTGATCTCTTACAATACGCGGACACATGGCTTTTTTAAAATAATAAAGTCCGTAGCTTGATTGGGCTTTCACAAGTTGTCGTTGCCGCGAGAGTTATTTTTGTAAGTTGGTGGGGGTGGGGTCGCTTTTTATTTCGCTGGGAGGCCCCCCACAAGAGACCCCCGTGAGACAAGAGTAAATTAGAGCAGCCTAAGGACAAGGGTTTGAGAAGAAGATGCTTTTAATAATCCCTGATTGGCAAGGGGGGTAAAAGATGCGTGCATTTTGTGTTACCATTGACAACTCACAGGTGCAGATCCTAGCTTACCAATGCCGTATCAACCGCACCTTCTCGGGAAATGACCGCAAAAGGTATGCGATAAGAAGATGCAGCCTCATCATTTCTGTTTGACTTAAAGATTTGGATCTTTCCTTGTTCTCTTGATTTTGAATTCTCTTCTCCGGTATCAGATCCATTGTCTCAACTCAAACCGTCGAATCTGCGCGTGCGTATCAACTCTTTCTGCCTCTGAGTACAGAAAGTAAACATAGGTGCTAGTTCAAGCCACACAGTAGCTTTAGTACCAAGAGCAACAATGTCATCACCAACAGTGGACAACCAGAATTTCGCAAACAATCTCTTCACCGACATTGCGCCATTATTAGTTCTCTTTGGCGACGAGACCACGAAGCAATTCCTTTCCACCTCAATGGGTTGGGCTGATAATATGCTTCTTGCAATTTGCCCGATTGGTATCATGACGATCATCATTTCCGCCATTAGGATCAGTGGTAATACTTTTCTAAAGTCGGTTATCAGCAGGTAAATCAAGTCCCTTCTATCCATTGAAAATCAGACTTGATTCTAAGCCACTGAAGAGCTCGAGACTCGGCAGATGAGGAGGAGAAGGAACTCCTCTCATCTACATCAGCAACCGTTCGCGAAATATGGGACGGCCATCGAGTCGTTCGGCAAACCGGGGAGCCCACGACCCTAGAGCTGATATTAATTTCCAATTGGAAGGAGCCTAAACCTGAGGGATACCAGCGTCCTCCATTTAAAAATGCTCTGAATCCTTTGGACGAAGTGCTATACGCTGTTTCGGGAAGCAAACTTGGTTTAGACGACCCATACAGAGGGACAGTCAATCCCGATGTTAGGCGACTTATATCCGGAAAAGCACCGCCAAATCTGACGCTCAATATTGCTCATGCTGTCCCAGCGCAGAGGAAAGTCGTTTTTTCCGTCTGCTTAGGAATTTTAATTCAAGTGGCAATGATTGTTGTGAATGCAATAGCTGTTTATCACTTGCATTGGCTTAGAGCGGGGAGAGCTGTTGCCTCTTACGGCTTCCCATCTGGGCGACTGGAACAATCAGCATTGCTTTTGGAGTGTCACTGTGTGCCCGAGCAATTCAGTGTAGTACGGCAACAAATATTTTACGCCCACTCGAACTCGAATCCCCACCGGGGCGAGAGAGACCGAGTCGCAAGTTAGTTAGGTATCAAAAAGAGATCCCTGATTTAGACCTCCCTGCATACCTCATTTTCACCGATGAAAGCAACCCTCAAATCAAAATCTCAAGGCGCATTTGGCCATGGATTGAAAACGATGATAACAAGATGGAACCCTCCAAGATCGAAGGCAGGGAAAACCAGTCAAATATATCCGAAATTGAAAGGGGTGAAAAAAGGTCCGTAGCTTCCAAGGTTGAGAAACAGATGATCAAGTCCAAGATGGAAATTAAAGAAACGTTTCTCACTATATTGGGGACCCTACTAGCGCTATTCGGATTCTTCTGCCAGAATATTGGAACTAGAGAGCTCCATTGGTCCGCTGCAGTTTTGCAGCTCGGTGGCACAGTAACCGTTTCATTCCTCCGGGCTTTGCTTCGACGGCACGTAGGACGAACGCCAGACCCGCTTCCAATCCCCATGCGCATGCTCACTGGAGCCGGAGCATCCCAACTTGCCTTGTGTCTTGAGGGGTTAGATGAAAAAACTGTGAAGCCACTAGGGTGCTATATGCTCAGTGAAAAACCTTATCAGCTGGAGGACGCTAGGCACCACATCTATCCTCCAAATGATGAAACACTAAGATCGCCGAAAATGGTTCACGAGCTTTTGGAAAGGACGAGACAGGACTCCTTTGAACCAGAGACGGATTTTGACTGCACAAGAACTCTGCGTATCTTGAATATGCAAAGTACGTTGACACAATACGAACCGGATCTGGACGACATCGCCGGGATCGCTTCAAGACTTTGTGAGGCAATAAACCAAGTTCTTAGAACCCTTGGCCTTCGTGGAGTAACTTGGTATCACCACATGATATTAGTTAACGAAGCTTCTGGTTTGACGGCAATTACTCCCATCCGTCTTTGCCTAATCTCGAACAAAGACACCTTCAACGACTATTTCAATACATGCAGTAAAATCCAAGCAATGATTAGTCTTACTTATCACCACTACGCCCCAAGAAGGCACTGCTCCCCCATTTACTATGGGGCTGGATCGAATCCTGGGTCATGCAAAAGATGGAATATCAGGCAAGCAAATGCAAGACGACTTGATGTCCTGGATGGGAAAAGCATACGATATTACGCTGCAAGAACAGGGTAATCCAAAGACCGCGAGTGTAACTGGTCTGGACAGTTCCGAGCTACACCGTCATCCAACCCTCGGACTACGATTCAGGGACCTATTCGATATATAAGCAAATTCTTAAGCTGGTAGAGGAACGAGATAATGTCTTAGTACTTACAAAAAATCTAGAAACGTGCGACCTGCTATTTTATTATAATTCTAATAAATCTAGTTATTATTAAAAATAGAATATACGAAAATAAAGTCTTTTATAAGGTTATTAAAGCCTTTTACCTAAAGCTTTCTCTTCCTATTAAAGGCTAATTTAAGAATACTATAGATAATATAAAATTCGAAGAAGCTATTTATTTGAAATATATTAGTATAATTTATAATATAATTTGCTATAATTAGCTTCCTTAATATCTAGTAATAAAGGCAGAAATTAAGTAATAGTTAAAGGCAGATTGTGAGGCACGTAATAGCAGGGTAATATATAAGTAGTTAAGGTAAGTATGCTATAGGGTAACGCTTGCAAGTATAACTGATTCCAAGAATTGATTCTAATAAAAGACTAATTAATGCCCCTTTCCAAAGCTAGGAGCGTCTCCCTATATGTTCCCTAGTACTTAGCCAAGCCTGCGAAGCACTTTACTTAACTAGGAAACATGATCCTATATGATCCGTACAATTCCGATTATAAGCTTTACCTAAAATAGGAAACTAGATCTATGATATCTGATACCTATCTATATGCCATTATATATACCCATTATATTAACCCCCCCTCTGGGCCCTTGTCCCCAAGAGGCCTGAGAGAACTATAAATAGCTTTATAAATAATCCCCTGAAACCTTTCCGGCCATTAGTTCTCCCTAAAGACTCCCTATAATTACCCTATTATTACGCTAGGTAATAGACTTGAGGATATAGTTTACTAATCCTGCCTAGCTAACCTGCAAATTGCCTCTAGTAATTCCTTCTTGTAAAGGTAATACGGGTATAATATATACTATTAGATAGGAAGCTCTTCTAGTCTTCTAATTAGTTTATAAATCCTAACTTAGCCTCTATTTGCGAATAAATTATTATTTTATAGGCCTAAGAGCTTAGAAAAGTTAATCCGATCTTCTGGTTCATTTATAAATCCCTTTTTTGGAATTTTCTAGATATTCCTAATATAGAGCCGGTTCCGAATTCGTAATTACTATTTAGGGAAAAAGTATTATAAAAAGGCCTCTCTTTTCCTACTAACTAACCTTCCCTTTCCTTAACTATAATACTATATTTAGCTCCTCTTTATCTCTTGCCTTCCTTCTTTAAGCCTTCTTTAAGCTTTATTTAAGCTTTATTTAAGCTTTATTCAAGTTCTCTTCTAATTCCCTTTTCTACTTCTTTATCTATTAAGATAAATACTTCTCTTAGTACTTATTAGCCTATTACTACCCGTTTGGCTAATACTTCTATATCCTTAATTTGCTTTTATTATCTTTAATATTCCAAGAATATTACTAAGTTTCTCGAACTTATTTATATTAAGAATAATAATTACTTAATATATAATTACTACTATTCCAAGAATAAGAAATATAATTCTATAAGTTATAATTTTCTTTATTTATTTCCTATTCTAATATTATTTAAAGTTTCTTAAATATATATAATATAGTTAAATTACCTTTTTTAAGCTATTAATATATATAAGCGTTTTCTTTATTTTTTACCCGAAAAAAAGAAAGCTATTATTACTTTTCTTTTATACTAAATAGTATATACTTCTTATATTAAAGCTATTATTTAAGGCTAACGGATTTCTTCTAATAATTCAAGAAATAAGTTAAGTAATTCTTATTAGCTTAATATAAGTATAAAGTACTCTTAATAATATAGTTAATATTCTTTAATATTAAGTAAGCTTATTTCTTTCTTATTTCTTACTAATAGCTAATAGCTTTATAGGCTAATTTACTATTTATTTCTTAAAAGAATTCTAATAAGAATAATAATAAGAATAATAGAAAGTAGTTATAAAAATGGGGTATTTATAAGATATAGAAATTAGAGTTTTTAAAGTTCTTAATAATTTTTATATAGCTTTTCTAAGAATAAATATATAGTTTTTAATAATTTCCTAATAAAAGCATTTATCTTTTATATTTCTGTTTAGCTAATAGTATTATAATATTATTCTTTTTCAAGTATTTTTATAATTCTTAAGCTATATTTTCTAAATTAATTAATAGTTCTTATATATTATTTACTAGTAAGTAGTTCTTCTAATAAATAAGATATTTCCTTTCTTTTCTATTTTCTTTATAAGCTATAATAGATTTCACTTCGAATTCTTTTTTATTCTTAATCTTAACTAGTTCTAGTTCTATTATAATACTAGCTTATAAGTACTATAGTTCTAAGAAGGAAATATAGAAAATATTATAGATCTAATATAATAGTAGTAATTTCAAGTAATATATTTATTTATATATTTCTATAACTTCTAGAACTTTAAAAGAGCCAAGATATCTATTTACTAGCTTTATATTAGATTATAGCTATTAAATATTCTTTATATAAAATATAACTTTATTATATATATTAAATTCCTTATTAATATATTTCTTATTATAATACTTTTTCTATATATCTATTACTTCTTACTATTACTTCTCTAGTACTTTCGGTTTTACTTAAATTCTCTATATTCTTTCCTATATTACTAGTATTTCTCTTTCCGGAATATTATTCTTAATATATAGTTTAATACTAGAATAAAATCTATATAATATATAGAATAGAGAAATTTCTATTATTAAATATATAAAGTTATTATATATGAATTTTATAAGAATAAGCTTTATTATCTAGTTATCTTACTAGTAGCTAGTATAATATCTTAAGTACTATTTCAGAGTTTGGTTTAGATTCTCCGTTTATTTATTAGTTTATAAGTAAAATATTATACTTAGCTATTATTAAACCTTTAAATAAAAGTAAAGACTTAACTAGAACTTGCCTATAAAAACAGATTCTCTATTAAAGGTTATATTTATAGATATATTAAAGTTTTTAATAATATAATATATAAATAGCTCTATTAACTTAGGAGCCGAGATTTCCTTAGTAATTAGAATATATTATATTATTTTCGTATATTTATTAATAATAATAAATATAGAATTATATATTTTACTATAAAACCTAGAAAAGAATAGTCCCGTAATAAAGTCTATAGTAATTTCTTATTATAGCTTAGAAAAGAAGGGAAATAAACTAAATATACTATATAATAAATATCTCTTTACCTTAGTCTATTAATATATAAAGCAAGTTCTAATATAGTTTTTTATATTCTTTTTTATATTTTACTAGAAATACTTTCTTTAGAAAATCTCTAGTATTTTACTAGTACTAAAATATTTATCTATAGGATTATTATAGTTAGCTTATAGTAATTCTTTTTTAAAAGCTAGCTTATTTAGTATATAAATAGTATTCTAATATCTTAATAACCTAGATATATTAAGTTCCCAAGTCTTAATAGCTCTAATAAAGGTCTCTTTTAAGAACTATTTATACTACTAGTATTATACTAATAAATTAAGTCTTTAGTATTATAATAGTAGTTTAAGTAATATCTTTCTGCTTTCTTTATATACTATTTCGGACCTAGCTGCCTATTATAATATAGCAGGCCATACTCGTCGAAAATCATATTATTTTGGCGGGTTTAAAATTTAGGTTATATGGTAAAGGCCGCAGCCTTTTATATGTAACTTACGGAAATTATATAAGAAAGCTAGTTTTTCTATAGACTTAGAGAATAATTCTTTATAAGTATTTAATTAATTAAGCTTTTATATATTATATACTATTTATATTTTACTATTTATGCTTTTGATTTATTATTTTACTATTAAGTTATGTTTTGCGTTCTAGTATACTTTATATAGGTTTTTGTCTTATTATAGTTTCTCTCTTATATATTTTATAATAAGTAATATAGGGAAGATAGAAACTTTATAGTTAAAGTAATACTCTTATAAAGTTCTAAGGGATATTTATAAGGCGAATTATTAGCTTAGTAAGTTAGGAGAGAAAAGGGCTATTATAATACCTTAAGCCTAAGGCTAAAATATTAAGAATATACGAGTATTAATCTTAGTATCTTATATTAATTTCTAATATACCTAGTAACTTGAATACGGGTTAGCTATAAGATATAGTTACTAGTATAGTATATAGGAATAGTAGAAATAGAGACTAATTATAGAAGGAAAAGAAGTAAAGGAAATAAAATAAGAAATATTATACTAAGATAATATAAGTTAGATCTTAGTTAGAATTAGACTTTAGTACTCGGAAATAAAGTTATACTATTAATTTATATATTATTTTTAGTTATAGTAAAAGCCGGAATTAAAGTAGCCTTAATCTTAGTAATAAAGCTTATTCCTAAGTCCAAAAAAGATATCTAAAAAAGAAAATACTTTCAAATTTAAGTAAAATAGTAAACTAGAATTAGAAATAAGAATTAAAAAGAAATTAGAAATAAGAAATTATATAAATAAACTAGAGAAGCTTCTAGAGAAAGAAATAGATACTAAATAAAGAAAGAAAAGAGAATTTAGAAAAGTCAGAAAAATTAGTAAAATTATATTTATTATTTTTATTATTACCTTTAATAATATTAATAAGTATATCTAGTTTAGTGAAATTAAGAGAAAATACTATAAGTATTAAGCTAAAGAAATAGGAAAGAAAATATAAGTAATAGAAATAAGACTAGAAAAGCTATTACCTTATTACTATTAATATTAAAACTCGAACCTTAATTATATCTATTATTATTAACTAGTTTCTTTCTAATTCTGGTTCCTAAACCAAAAGATATACTTAAACAGGAAGTTAGTTTTTTAGGAACCTTATTAGTAGAAGTCTCAGATATAGAAACTTTATAATTAATTATAGAAGAAATTATTAAGATTAATATGGCTAAGAATAAGTATATAACTAGTACCGGGTTTAAACCTGCTATTTATAGAAGCTTCTAAAGTATTATAGTTTTAGGGAAATAATATCTTTATATTCTTGGAATAATATATAGATATATATAAGAACTATTATATTCCTAATAATACTAAAAAAGAGAGAATT